TACTAGCTTTGTGACCCTGGCTGAGTCACTTAGCCCTGTTTGCCCCCGTTCCTCATATATAAAATGAGCTGGAGAAGAAAATGGCAAACCACTCCAGTACTTTAGCCAAGAAAACTCCAAGTGGGATCACATAGAGACATGACTGAAACGACCAAACAACCAAAAACACCTATTATGTGCTAAAAAAAATAAAACCATTCTGGTCTACTTAGAAATAGGTATTTTTTAATGCTAACTCTCCCCTCTAAGAACTTCCTTTGTGGTATAGATAATATTACCTTGGAATGTTTTTTGTTCCCCTCTTTTAGGAAAGACTCCAAAAGGAATGCTTCCACAGATTTATTACGTGTCCTAGGTGCTAGGTAACAAGATGAAATGACAGAGTCCATATTCTTAAAGAATTTACAATCTAATGGTGGGGAAAGGGCCAGTAGGGAAAGAGACACTTAAGACATACAGAATTAGGTGAGGGAAATGAGGCTCAGACAGTTTAAGAGACTTACTCAGGGTCAAAAAGCCAGTATTAAAAAACTGAGACTAGAACATGGGTCAACAGACAACCAGGTATATTTGATTGAAATGGTAGAATGTCATCTAACTAGAGCTGGGCGAAGTAGAATATGCATGGTAGCAGGTCTGTAAGAGTCGAACATGAAGGCCAAAATGATATTGACAGATAATGTAACGTTCCTCTTACCCCATGGGAAAGGGGGAATTTTGAAGCTGGGCACTTGTAATCTACAGGTTCTCCAAAGTCCAAAGCAATAAAAATTAATTTCATGGTATTTTACTGAAGGTCATATGGCAAAAGTCCAAGGCAGCAGGTGGAGGGAAATAAGATGGAATTACTAGGCCTAAGAAGCAAAATCTAGATGAAATTTTTTTAACTTTTGTTTTTAAAACTTTAGGTTCCAAATTTTCTCCCTTCCTCTCTCCCCACCCACCCTCATTGAGAAGGCAAGCAACTTGATATAGGTTATATATGTGTAGTCATGCAAAATACTTCCATAGTAGTCATGTTGTGAACAACTAAGTATATTGCCCTTCATCCTATCCTGCCCCCATTTGTTCTATTCTCTCTTTTGACCTTATCCATCCTCAGAAGTGTTTGCTTCTGATTACCCTTTTCACAACTGCCCTCCTCTCTATCATTCCCCTGCTCTTTTGTCCTCTTCCCCCTCTATTTTCCTCTATGGTAAGATAGGTTTTCATACCCAACTGAGTGTGTATGTTATTCTCTCCTTAAGTCAAATCCGATGAGAATAAGATTCACTCATTCCCTCTCACCTTCCCCCATTTCCCCTCCACTGTAAAAAGCTTTTCTTGTCTGTTTTCTGTGAGATAATTTACCCCATTCTACCTCCCCTTTCACCTTCTCTCCGTATAATCCTCTCTCACTCCTTAATTTTATTCTCCAGATGTCACCCCTTCATCTTCAACTCACCCTAGGCCCTCTATCTATCTATCTATCTATCTATCTATCTATCTATCTCTCTACCTCTCTCTCTCTCTCTCTCTCTCTCTCTCTCTCTCTCTATATATATATATATATATTATATATATATATATATATATATATGTACTATATAGCATATATACTACATATGTATACTATATAGTATATATGTACTATAAATATACTACATATATAATATATATATTATGTATGTGTGTATTTATATAATTTTCCCCCACAACTACTCTAATACTGACAAAGGACTCATGAGTTATAAATGTCATTTTTCCTTGCAGAATGTAAACAGTTCAATGATAATAAGTCTCTTATGATTTCTCTTTCCTGCTTACCTTCTTATGATTCTCCTGAGTCTTGTATCTGAAAGTCAAATTTTCTATTCAGCTCTGGTCTTTTCATCAAAAATACTTGAAAGTCCTCTATTTCTCCGAACATCCATTTTGTCCCTGAAAAGATTATGATCAGTATTGCCAGGTAGGTGATTCGTGGTTGTAATCCTGTCTCCTTTACCCTCTGTAAAATCATATTCCAAGCCCAGAGGTCCCTTAATGTAGAAGCTGCTAAATCTTGAATTATCCTGATTGTGTTCCCACAATACTTGAATTGTTTCTTTCTGGCTGTTTGCAAATTTTCTCCTTGACCTGGGAGCTCTGGGATTTGGCTGCAATATTCCTAGGAGTTTTCCTTTGGGGATCTCTTTCAGGAGGTGATTGGTGGATTCTTTCCATTTCTATTTTGCCCTCTGGTTCTAAAATCTCACAGCAGATTCCCTTCATAATTTCTTGAAAGATGATGTCTAGGCTTTTCTTTTGATCATGGCTTTCAGATACTCCAATAATTTTTAAATTATCTCTCCTGGATCTATTTTCCAGGTCACTTGTCTTTCCAATGAGATATTTCACATTGTTTTCTATTTTTTCATTCTTTTGATTTTGGTTTATAGTGTCTTGATTTCTCATAAAGCCACTAGCTTCCAATTGCTCCATTCTCATTTTTGAGGAAGTATTTTTTCAGTAAGCTTTTAGACTTCCTTTTCCATTTGGCCAATTTTGCTTTTTAAGGCATTCTTCTCCTCATTGGTTCTTTGGACCTCTGTTGCCATTTGGGTTAGGCTATTTTTTAAGGTGTTATTTTCTTCAGTAATTTTTTGGGTCTCCTTTAGCAAGCTGTTCACTTGTTTTTCATGATTTTCTTGCATCACTCTCAGTTTTTCCTCTACTTCTCTTACTTGCTTCTCAAAATCCTTTTTCAACTCTTCCATGAGCTGAGACCAATTCACATTTTTCTTGGAAGCTTGGCATGTAGGAGATTTGACTTTGTTGTCTTCTTCTGGTTGTATGTTTTCATCTTCTTTGTCACTAAAGTCAGATTCTATGGCCTGACTCTTTTTGCGCTACTTGCTCATGATCCCAGCCAATTACTTCAGTTACAAACTTTTTATTAAGGTAGAGGTCTGCTTCCAGTGTGAAGAATGTACTGTCCCAAGCTTTGGAGGTTTTGTGCAGTTATTTTCAGAGATACTTCTAAGGACTTGGAAATTTTCAGTTCTTCCAAGGTGCTATGATGAAAGGCGAGGTGTTTACTCCTTTCCTGGCCTATGCTCTGGTGTATTAGTGACCACAAGAACTCTTTTCTGTCTTGGAACTGTGAGGAGGATTCTCTTTTCACAGCTACTACAAGTTCCACCTTGCCAGTGCTCCTCCGCCCCCCAGGACCATCACCCAGAGCTGTGACCCAGATCCAAGCACAGGCAAAGCAAGAGAATCCTGCCTCAGCACCAGCAAAGAGAACCCTATAATGCCCTCTGATCAGCCACTTGATTTCCCCTTAGTCTGTGGCCTGGAAGCTCCAGACACAGCCACCACCCTGAGGTCACACTTTGGGAATGGGGCTGGGATCCTGAGCTTCTCTCTCTCAGTGAAGACACAGACTTTTCCTGCTAACATTCTAACTTGTCTTTGGTGTTCATGGTTGAGAAGTCTGGAAACCTCTACAGCTACCCATGATTTAGTCCTCTGAGACTGCTCCAAGTTTCGCTGACGCCTGCTTGCCCATGCCACGCTGTGCTCCTCTACCAGCTTTGGCGGATTATACCTTTCTGATCAACCATCCAGGTTGTCTTGGGCTGGAAATTTGTTTCACTCTGTGTTTTTGTGGGTTCTGCTGCTTTAGAATTTGTTTAGAGCCAATTTTTACAGGAATTTGGAGGGGTTTGGGGAAGAGCTAAAGCAAGTTACTGCTTTTACTCCTCCATCTTGGCTCTGCCCATCTAGATGAAATTGTTGAGACCCCTAATTAAGAACTATAATCATGTGATCATAAGTTTGAAAATCCCAAGTCATCAATTCGGGACTATCTTGCTTCAGCATTGGTTTTAACTATGAATTCTCTCTAGAGGATATTGGAAATTTGAGCTTTCTTTTGACAACAGTATTATAATTTTCAGATTTGGGGCCACTTTAGCTCTAGTAGATATTAAGACTCATGAATTCTGATACATGAGACTAAAGTCACAAATAAGATGATTTTAAATAATATGATTTTTAAGTAAGTAGGTAAATGTCAACAAATATGCCCTTTACCTTCTATTACAGATAAGTATTTTTTCATCCAGTAATGTATGGATATGTAGTGATGACTACAGTATATGTAAATAAAGTCTAGGAAAAATAAAAATTTGGCTTCCTTACTGATCCTCCCAAGCCCCCTCCCTACCAACTAATTTGTTCTGTTCTTCGGGGGAATGATTTAGTCTATGATATTACTCGTTGGAAGGAAAGTACAAAACAACTTCTGCTACACTAAGGGCTTCTACATATAATATCATTACGGAAAAATCCTAGAATACCATGGTGTATATTCCATGGTGGTGCTTAATACAGTCAAGTATAACTTAATATATCAGATGGAAATTTGAAAAATTAGTACTTTCATTTCTTGAGACACAATAATTGCTTACTCCAAGAGTATCCATTGATATTCACACTATTGGATATTGGGGAGCAAAAGGATATAAAATGTCAGAAATTAAATACTCAATGCATCCCCTTCCCAAGAGGCTTTTGGGATTAAAATAAACCAACTTTCTTTTCTATCACCTACATTGACTCAGGAATATCTATGAGAGAATTTTTGGTATACAATAGCATGGCTTCTACCATAAGCTGCCTGTCATCTTGTTACTACATATATTACTCTCTGACCCTCATGCCTAGTAAAATGTCATGTATTCAGGTCCTTAATACATAATTTTCAATGGTGATTATGGGCATGGACAAAAAGAGAAATTAAATCTGATTTAATGACAGAGAAACTGAGAATGGGAAGACAGGAAAAAATGGAACAGAGGTATGATTTTGATCTCCTCCCCTACTTTCCTGGGCCTAGTTTGTCCATGAATGATAAAGGGTGTGATTAGGAAAGCTCTGCAGACCAAGATGGTACTTACCTACATGGAAGCCTACTTGGTCACAGAACAGATTGCCTGAAGTGTGAATTAACTAATACCTTTCATTTCTCATTTCAGCATTCGCACCGTTCTGAAAATGTGAGACCAATCACATGGCCCCATCTTGCCAGCATTCTTATTGTATCTGTAAGGAGTAGCAGGACATCAATAAAAGCTTTCAATAATTCAATCACCAGGTTGACCAATGGAAGCCTGCAGCTGAACTGATTAATGATGAATATGAATGGATTTTTAAGACACTGTCTCAAATTCATGTTGAATGAAGGGAAATAAGAAAAGTTAATTAAGAGCTTGATAGAAGGTCATACTTTTCAGTTTCATCATTGTTAAGTATTAGACCTTAGACAACTGACAACCTTCAGTCAAGTGGCAGAAAGCCATCATCATCCATGCCCCTTCCTCATTGATGAGCCATTATGCTTGCTACTTTCTGCCTCTCTGCCTTCTCCCTTTTTCTCATCAGCAAATGTTTGGGGCTCCATTCAGAACATGTCAATATAAAAAATAAAACTTGCTGAATTAAAATACATTCTTTTTTCCTTTGCGCCTTCTCGTTTACAAAATATAAGGTTCGTCCTTTTTAGGTGAACACAAGCCATGCATCATAGGATATCTGAAAAGATATAAAATGACACCAATGGAATATTACTGGTAGTATAATCAAAGGGGGTTTACTATTTATCGACAAAAGTAAATTGTCTTATTAACTAAATATGAATGAAAAATGAGATATACTTAATGGTAATAGTTCAGTGATCTGCACAACATGAGATACTATATAAAGAAAGCAGCTTGGTATACTTCAATTCACTAAGTATTTATTGAACAATTAGTATTTGTAAGATATTGCACTGGACATTGGGGATCCAAAAAAAAATAAACAGTCCTTGCTACTCAAGGAAGTAACATTCTGCCAGGATGATCAAGATGTATATGAAGAGGAAAATACAAACAAAAAAAATTTTTTTAAATACCCATTGGAGGGGTGGGGTCAGGAAATCCTGCATACAGAAAGTGTCACCTGAGTTATTCTATAAAGGAAATTAGAGGATCTATGAGATGGAAGTGGGGAGGAAGTATATTCAAGGTATACAGGACCATGTGCCAAGACTCAGAGACAAATGGCATGTCACATATGGGCAACACCTGGCAAGTCACTTTGACTGAACAGAGAGCATATCATGAAATAAGATTGCATATGGAGGTAGGAACCAAATTGTGAAGATCTTAAGAATTTTGAGGAGGTAGAAGGAGTGGAGGGACGTCTTCAGACCTGTGTTTGGGAAGATTCATTTGGCAGCTATGCAGAAAATGGATTGAGAGAGGGAGAGACTGGAATTCAGTAGGCAAATGAAGAGACTACTGTCCTGGGGCAGCCAGGGGGTGCAGTGGATAGAGCACAGGCCCTGGACTCAGGAGGACTTGAGTTCAAATCTGGCCTCAGACATGTAGTAACTGTGTAACCCTGGGCAAGTTACTTAACCCCAATTGCTGAGAGACAGAAAGAGACTATTGCCCCTAATTCAGGTAGATGTTTATGAGGGCACAAATTAGGTTAGAGGTTGTGGGAGTAGGGGTTGACTCCAGGTCAAGTTTTCTAGCCTGGGTGACAGGAAGGATGGTTACCATCATCATAAATGGAGTTTGAAAAAGGGATCACTTTAGGTGGAAATAGAATAGGCTTTGTTTTGGACATACTGAGTTTGAGAAATCCACAGGGATTTAAATGCTTAAGAATCAGGGGGAAAATGCATGCATAACACACTTAAATTTAATCTGCATCATTACCATTCCTTCCATCACTCTCTTAAGTCAAGAATCAACAAAACAATAAATTCAGTCTTGATTTGTAGCATTTTTTACTTTCCAAGATTTCAAGGCTCACACTGAAAGGCGCAACTATCAGCTCTCAAAGTTCAACATGAGTTGGTTCCAACAAACCACTTCCTACAGGCTATCCACTTGAAAATGTCCAATAGGCAGATTAGCTCTGGACATGTAGATTTGGAGTAATCTCTATAGAAATCATACTTCAACCCATGGGACCTGATTAAATCAAGATCACCAAGAGGAAGAGTAGAGAGAGAGAATGATAGATGGTCAAGGACAGAATCTCAAGGGACACTCACACTTAGTGGAAAGGAGGAACCAATCAAAGCAGACTGAGAAGAGACAGTCATAAAGGGAGGAGTAAAGTGAAGAGACAGCAGTGTCATGGAAGTCAAAGAAGACAGAGTATCCAGGAGGGGACAATCAACAGTATTAACCCAGTAACTCCTTTTCTCTTCTTTGCAAATGAGTGGTGGTGGGGATGCTGGAACAAATCACCAGAAGCAAAGCCATTGTTCTCTCCTGCTAAACTACATTACTGATCTTTCAAATACATATTGGTTGATCAGCTGGCTGTGTCCTTTGTTCTCCAAGAGGACCAAAATGACATGACCACGTTGGAGTTGAGGTACAATGTGTCTGACTGTGGTAGATCAGACCAATACAAGTTTGGCATGCTCGACCCTAGTTCAGGCACAAATAGTCTGTATGAACAATTGGAGTGAAGATGTCTCCAAATTTATGCATCTCACATTTTTTGAGCCACTGTAATTCTGCTTTGCTCACAGAGCACACCACCTTCTTTGATGTGGTCACAGCTTGTTGGGCAGTCCTTCACCAGCATCTCTTTCCAACCTTCTGAGCAGCCCTATAATTATCTCCCCAGCTACAGAGAAACTGAGACACAAGGGGTAACACATATTATCAAAGTCCACGAAAAAAAAAATATTGAGGGCATATGCACAGAACTTGATGGACACCTATATCAATGAAATCTCAACTATTTGTACATATGTAGGCTACATAGCATATTTATGCTGTTTCATATACAAGGCCATAAACTCACACAGAACACACACAAACCCTTAGATACATGCATCAGTCCAATCTCTGAGGGATTCTACCTCTTAGAAGACTCTGTAAGAAAAAGTACCGGGTCCAGAAAATGTCATTCTAGGTAATCGGTGGAATAGAACCCAAGTCCTTGGATATATACACTTTTGAGGCCAAGATTGGAGACTAAAAGGCAAAAAGGGGGTCATATGGTACCACCAGGCACATGAGTTTTCCACAGAGCTAGAGAGGGAAGGCAGATAACCCTACCTTCAGAGCTCAGCAAGAGCTAAACCTAAAGGGAAGTTCTTGTGTGTGCAAGATCAGAGTGCGACCCAGGTAAGGGGGCAAGTTGTGTGCTGATTGTTCATTGCATACTGGCTACTTAATTGACAATCAATGGGGAACCCACCAGAGAGGGGTTTTATACTCCTTCAGACTCTGGAGTAGGGCTTGCTTGGCACTTTAGGGAAGGTGGCACAGTGGCTAGAGCTCTGGGCTTGGAGTCAGAAAGACTTAAGTTCAAATTCAGCCTCAAATACTTAAGACTTGAGGCAAGTCAGTTCACCTTTGTTTGCCTCAGTTTCCTCATCTGTAAAATGGGGACGATATTAGCACCTACCTCCCAGGCTTATTGGGAGGATCAAAAGAGATGCTATTTCTAAAGTACTCAGCACAGATAGTAGGTGCTTCATAAATGCTTAATCACAATTCACTGTTTTCCCTTCACAATAAAGTGAAGGAATCACTCAGTCTGGGTGAGTTATCTTGTTTATTTATTAGATATTATGAACGAAAAGAATATTTGACTTTTGTGTCGTTTTTCAGTTCTGTCCAACTCTTCATGATCTCATTTAGGGTTTTCTTTTTTTTTTTAATTAAATAATTTATTAATTTTTACTTTACAACATTCACTTTCAAAAGATTTTGAGTTCCAAATTTTCTCCACATTTCTCCCCTCTCCCTACCCCAATGGTGTATATTCTCTTCCCCCAATCTCTTCTCCCTTCTATCATACTCCCCCTTATCTTTTTGCCCCATTTTGTTGTAGGGCAGGATAGATTTCTATACCCCATTGCTGTATATCTTATTTCCCAGTTGTATGTATAAACACTTTTTAACATTCTTTTTAAAAACCTTGAGTTCCAAATTCTTTCCCTCCCTCTCTCCCTACCCAACCTCACTTACAAGGCAAGCAATTCAGTATAGATGATGCATTTGTAGTCATGCAAAACATTTCCATTATGTTTATGTGGTGAAAGACTGACTATATATATTTCCCTCCATTTAGCCTATTCTCAGGTTGCACTTCTGGGAGCCAAGATGATAGAGTAAAAGTTAAGCCACTCTTCCCATCCCTTACTAACCTCTGAAAGCCCAGAAAATATCATCCCAGGAAAAACCCTAGGATAGCTGAACCAGAACAAAGACAGGGTGCAGCAGTCTGGCAGCCTAGGTCCCTTGAGGGATTAACAGGAAAGGCCCCTCTGGCCCTGGGGAAAGGGGAGCAGTACAGAACAGGAGGCATCCCAGACAGCTAATGGAAAGCCCCGCCTCAACGTACCAGGGGGAGGTCCTGAAACCCAGCTGGTGGAGCAGGAAAACACCAACACCTGGATCCCTGAGTGCCTCAGTGAGGGAGGGGGAACCAATGGAAACCAGCTTGGAAACACATGGGGTGCCTTCACATTCTACAGCAACCAGCTGTCTCAGTGTCTCAGCAAGACCAAAGGAAGCAGCTCCAAGGGGCCCCAGGAGGATAAACATCCTACAACATCCATCTGAAAGGAGCTGAAGAGAAAGCAAAAGGAAGGAAAGGTGGGCAGGAAATCTCCGGAGACACACTACCCAACCTTACCCCTAGAGTGCCAGTGTTGCTGATTCCAGCCCAACACCAGTTAAACTGCCAGAACCCTACAGCCTCCAAATGCCAGTTGGAGTTAACCGGTTAAACTGCCAGCATCAGAGTCCCCAGCAGACAAAGCCAGTGACCAAGCCCTGGGCTCCGACACAAGAAGCTTGGGTAAGTGCCCTCTGCTCCCCAGCAGGAGAGCTCAATTTCTTTAAAGACCAGGGAATAAGGAAACACCATGAGCAAAAAGAAATGTACCATAGATTCATATGATGGCAACAGTGAAGATCAAGGCAGAAATTCTGAAAAGGACAACATCGTCAACAAACCCACATCTGGAACCTCAAAAGGGAATATTAACTTGTCTGATGCCCAAAAAGAAACCTTCTTAGAAGAGCTCAAGAAGGTTTTAAAAGTTAAATGAGAGAGGGAGAAGAAAAAATGGGAAAAGAAATGAGAGGTATAAAAGAGAGAGTCAACAGCTTTTTAACTGTAGAAGACAAGACCTTAAAAAATGCAATTGGCAAACTGGGGGAAAAGTACACTGAAGAAAACAAGTCCCTAAAAAAACACAATTGGCCAAATGGGGAGGGAGGTATAGAATCTAATAGAAGAAACAATTTGCTAAAAATTAGAATTAGGGAAATGGAAGCTAATGACTCGATGAGAGAATGAGAATCAGTCAAACAGAAACAAAAGAATGAAAAAATAGATGAAAATGTAAAATACCTCACTGGTAAAACAACTAACCTGGAAAAATCAATCCAGGAGAGACAATTTAAAAATTATTGGTC